TCTTTAGACAGACACTCCCTATTTCCCTTCATGACTGACCGTTTAAAGACAGTGGTGGCTCAACCCTCAGGGACAGAAATGACTAGAATGTAAAGATTGACCAGTACTCTATTTACTGACACTAGTCACTAAAGTGACAGGATCCTTGATTTCTTAATAATTCTTAGCAGCTCCCTGCTGTTCCAAGATAAAGTCTGACAGTGTATAGATGTGTAGAAAGACCCCAGCGATCAAGACCCTTGATTTCCTTGGTTGGCCTCTCTCCTCTCTGCTTCACTAAATGATTACCATATGCCCCCCCCATGCTGCTCTGTCCTGCCTCATGATAACAGTTCTGATCCATAGGACCCTGGATTTCACATGTGCCCTAGCAGAAGACTGTGCCAAGTTGCTTACAAAGACAATTTTTATCAATAAAGCATGTGATTTAGTTATAATAATGAAAAAGTACAAATTTGTGTATTGTCACTCATTTTCCATATTTCTAGTATTTTAAAAACAAAATATTTTTAAATAATGGCTTTCTATTATTTCAGTTATTGAGATGGAATTGTCTGCTCTGGTGTACATTGCGGGGAGCTTGTCTCTTGACCTATGGTTGGATTATGCAGATGCTTAGTAAATGAGTTTATAGAATCAATACACACAAAGGTCATTTTTTGATGCCAACATGTAAATATTCATCAAAAGTTGTAAATACTCCGTGTCATTGGGCATCTGCTACATATAATGGATAATCTTGATTGTCAAATTGTTCTGATTGATAATCAGCTAAGAGACTTGCCTCTGGGACGATCTGTGAAAGCAGTTCAAGGGAGAATTAACTGATAGCTTAAGACCTCCTTCAGAGGGGATAGCATCTTGGTAGGCCAGATATAGAGGTCAGGTTGGAGGAAAAAGCAATGATACTTCCCTGCCAGTTTTTGTTTCTTCCTAGTAATTGTATCTATTGTGCCAGCTGCTACCATTCTTTGCTTCGACCAGACTCTAGCATGTTCTGGTTCCTGCATGGGCTAACATCCAGAAGATTACTAGGAATCCTCCAGGACCTCAGCATCACATTGATTAATGTGATTATGTTACCAAGATTAATGTTACCAAATGAACAGAAGGGTAGGATGGCTCAATGCTAGTTCCAAGTCTCTTCAAAACCTGTATCATTTTTGCTTAAGAGTATTCCTGTTTATCAGGATTTATATATGAATCAACTATTAAAGAAAAATCTTTTTTTTCTACTCCTCCATTTAAGATGTCAATCACAGGAAGTGAGTTCTTTTGTAGATTTCCATGTCTCTATATGACTTTCTTATACATTCACCAGTGCTACCTGATCATGTTAAAAAATTTAGTAACTGAAGGCAGAACTCAGAGAATCAATTTACTTGTACATAGTAGTTTACAATAAAACATATCATAAGAATATAGTGCATGGACAGATGAATCAATACACAAAGGCAAATGAAGAGCTGCATGGACTCTTGCTGTGGAGTTTGGGTGCATCTTCTATACTCCCTGCATATAGATAATAACCAAGAAGGTCTCCAAATGCCACATCGGACAGATTCTGTGGAGGCTCCATCACATGATTGTGGCCAGCAATTAGCTCAGTTTCTGTCTCTATTTTCTTCCCCAGTACATGAAGGGTCATAGAATTCTATGTTTCTTATCATCTTCTAGTGGCCAATTCCCTTTCTGCAGCTGTCCAGAAATTCAAGAGTGGCTTCAGTAGACTAGAAGATATGTTTGCATTCCAGAAAATCCCAGTGGGCTCAGCAGCTCTATGTAAGATTCTCCCATCATCACTATTACCCAGAATATTACCAAGGTCTTAGTGACTTTGTGTTAAGTGGCAGGACTAGGGACCAGGTGCATATTTCCTATTCTGTTACAAAACTATAAATGTTTTGTTACAGTTTCAAATTTTATAAAAACTTATGTTTTACTTAAATAATACTTTATACTTTATAATACTTTAATACTTTATAAAAAATTATATTTTACTTAAATTTTATTTAAACAGGGTTTGAAATGGTTGATCAGTTTATCTTCTTTTATTAACCCATACTTTGTACAGCAGATCAGTGATGCTGGGGTTGGAGATCATGAGTTAGTACTAAGCTGGCTGCAAACCGCAACATATGCCCCTATCTTGCTCTGGGTCTGAAGGTGACATATTTTTAGGTAGGTGTCCCCTTCGCTGGAAGTTGTTGTTCAGGACACATGAAGGGTAGAGGTGCAGAGGGCAGAAGGGGCAGGGTTCAGAGAACCATGAGTATGACAGAATGACTTCCACGTACAGCTCCAATAAAACAGCTCAATTTTATTTGGATGAAAAAGGGCTATATAGACCTTGGGAAGTGAGTGGGGGTTTTCAGGGTTGGCATACATTATTGGCTTTGGCTGAGGTGTCAGGGATGATTCATTTCCATGAAGAGGAATTCCAAGAACATGCTGAGCAAGTTCTTATAGGTGAGGTTGAACTTGTAATTTGGCCAAAGACTACATGAGGTATGTGGGCGGGGGATGGGGGGGGAAGGAGGGTAAAGGTCATGGGCTAGAGCATGTAGGCTAAGAATGGGTAGAGAGCTGTCCTACCCCTGGTGGTCTCAGGATGATATTTTTTAGGGGTTTGGGCATGTCTCAATCTTGCTCCAGGGCAGCTTTCCTGGTTGCATGTACCCACATTTTTTCCCTTGATAAAGTTTAATTGTTGCTTTGGGGACAAATATATCAATTTTCAGAAGCCCAGGAAATCTTGACAAGCCACAGATGTTTTCTTAGTTTATTTAACAATTATGAATGTACAAAGCATAAGTTATCTTGTGGCTCTTCAGTAAAATTTGAGACAATGACTTCATAGAGAAAGTTGGAAAAATCAACACAGGATCACACTCCAACACCTTCAAGGGGGCAAAAGTGTTGGACTGTGAAGCAGAAGTCATTGGTAAGTGATGTGAAACGTTATCCCCAAGTTCAGTGCCTGTTCTCTGGAAACATGTGCTTAGAGTTTCTAGGTCCTTGAGAATACTGGAAGAAAAGAAACCATGGAGACAGAACTGCCTAAAGCAGCAATGATTACATTATCTTCAAACCTCATTAATATGGCCATCTCCTGTACTTGGAAAAGACTTCCAATGGAGGAATTGGAGCACCAACCCAGCCACAAAACTATCAACCCACAATTTTCCCTACTTACAAGATGTGCAGGGGTGTAGATGGAATAGAAATTAAGAGAACAGCTAACCAATGTCTGATCCAGCTTGAGACCCATGTCATGAGACAAAACCCACCCCTGACACTATTTATTGTATTCTGGTATACTTACAAGCAGGACGCTAGCATAAATGTCATCAGAAAGGCTTCACCCAGCAACTGAAACAAATGAAGTGACCTATAGGCAAACAACAAGTAGAGCTTGTGGACTCTTGTGGAAGAGGGAGAAGAATTCAAGGAACAAAAGAGGTCATGGACACAACAAAAGCTCTACAGAATCAACTAACCTGGCCCCATAAAGGGCTCAACAGAGACTAAACATCCAACCAAAGAGCAATCATGGGACAGACCTAGGCTTCTGTACATATGTAATTGTTGTGCATCTTGGTCTTCATGTAAGATTCCTAACAGCAGGAGCAGTGGCTCCCTCTGATGCTGCTGCTTGCCTTTGGATCCCTTTCCACTAACATGGCTGCCTTGTCTAGACTGAATTGAAGGTCTTACGACAACCTGATGTGCCAAAGTGGGTTAATATTCATGGGAGGTCTCCTCTTTTCTGAGGAGAAAAGGAGAGGATATTGGAGGGAGGATAGGTGAGAAGGAAGGACTGGGAGGAGAGAAGGGAGGAGAAGCTGTGATTGAGATCAACAAATAAACAAATTAATAATAATAATATAATAATAATAATAATTCTCATTCATAACTGTTTTAGACGCCCTTTGAGGACAGAATAATCCTGTCAAGAAATGCTATTGAGAAAGTTGGATGTCCACATGCAAAAGAACGAAATCAAATCTTTATCTGATACCACGTGATAAAATATCTTTCCTAAATAATTACAGGTTGAAAGGATTAGTTGAGTTTTTAAGGGTTTCAGCCTGTGGCTACTTGAAGGCAAACGTCGTGATAGAGACAATGCTGAAACAAAGGAACTTACCTCATGGCAGCTTGGAGAGGAAGGGGCCAAGTCCCACCATGCCTCTTAAGGGTATGTTTTCAGTCACAAACCTAGGACCACTTTCTGAAGTTTCTACCACTTCACAAATGTGTCACCACCTGTAGACCAAGCCTTCAACATGTGAGCATGTGGGGACATTCCAGATCAAACTACAACACACCACATGCAATAATTGAGATCTGTTGAAGTCCTAAATGTAAGCTCTGAGACCATGGACAGCAAGAGAAGAATGTTTGTTGGTATTGACTTCAGCAATGATTGGGGGGAAGTGGTTTTTCTTTCACTATTTTTGTTGATGTTGTGGTTATTTTACTACCACATCAAATCTCAGGTGATAAGAATAAAAATAAACATATGGGAACATATTAAAATAAAAATTTATGCACAGCAGAAAAAAAAGCATAATCAACAAAGTGAAAAACGCAAGCAATGGGTTTAGAAAAAATTCTATGTGCCATTTCACTCATAAAATACATAGGACAGTCATATAATTTAAAGTGAAAATACATAGCCAGTCTTGAAGATTCATGATTATCCTCGTAACACTCAGAAGACTGGTTCAGGAGGGTTGTCATAAGTTCAAAGTCAGCCAGAGTTACACAGTGAAAGAAATCCTGTCTATGAAATCAAATAATAGAGATAGATAGATAGATAGATAGATAGATAGATAGATAGATAGATATAATTAAATAAAAGGTAAGCCACATAAACTAATAAAAAATTAATAAGAAACTTAAGTAATCAAGTTCAATAGATATGTGAAATGGTATATGGATATAGGTAAGTATAAATGACACGATACACATACTATATATGATACACATACCGATTTGATGGTGAGTCTGCTTACTCATTAGTATAAGTTTATTCAACCAAAAAAGTACAGAAGACAAATGGAATTATGTTACTTAGTTTTCTTACTGCTTTGACAAAACACCTGACAAAAGTAATTTAGGAAAGAAAGGTTTATTTGACTCAAAAGTTTAAGGATATAGCCCATGATAGGATGACAAGGAGCCAGAACCCGAGTAAAGAGTCACATTGTGTCCACAATCAAGAAAGAGAGAGAAAGATGAATGCTGGTGCTTGGCTCTCTTTTTTTTCTCCCTCTTTTTTATTCTGTCCAGAAGATTTTTAGTTTTTTTTTTTATTTTGCCCATGGGACAATGGTACCCATGTTTAGGGTAGATCTTCTCTCTTCAACCTCTGTACAAACAACTATATAAACATACCTAATGTTGAGTCTCATGGGTGATGCTAAATACAGTCAAGATGACAGTGAATATTAACCATCATAGATATAAAAGAGATTAATTTGGTATCAATTAAAAAGTATGTAGTTTCTATACACAGACATTTCTCACCATGGAGCATCCTCAGCAGGCTGTATCTGAATGTTCCTGGTGAGAGGTAAGAATACTGAAGGTCTTCTACAACTTTTCAGTCCATTACATAGCTTTACCATTTTCATATGCTTTAAAACACTATTTTTCCTTTATTTTTCACTTAAAGAATTTTTAGATATCATATTTTCATCAAAATATGAATGAAAGATGATCAGTATTCCCCCCTGGGGGGACTAAGAGTGGAAAATCGTTCAAGAGAAGAACTTGTAATCCAAGGAATAGGTCTACCCTACTCAATGATCACTCTCTCTCTCTCTTCGTCTATTTCCCACTACTGTAATAAAATACTCAAGGTAGAGTACTGAGTGATGAAAAGGGATCCCCTTGGCTCACAGTTCTGCAGGTTCAGATGCATAGTGCCAACATATGCTTCATTTTAGTGATAGTTTCGAGGTAGATAGCACCCCATTACATGATGGACATGGGAGGAAGTGATCATACAGCTGGACAGATAGCCAGAGACAGACCATGTATACATCCTGAGTGAAGTTTCCTCAGATGTAGGATATCCCACTCCATCGGCCCTGTTTTTTAAAAGTCCTACCACCTCTTTACATTGTCACACTGACAATCAAAGTTTTCAGCACATGGACATCTGGAAATAAACCATAGCACCAAATTCTACCATCTAAAATTAATGTATATCTCCAAAAGCATACATTTATTGTATGTACAAACTGTGTCTATTTCCTATGCAGCTTTTATCAGTAATATAAGCTTGTTTGCACCATTTAGTTAAAGTAGGTTTTCAAGGCATAGCTGCATGATGGCAGATGTAAGATATTCATGGTCCAAGCCTCTCACAGAATTCTCTAATCAAGATAAATATTTGAGGTCCACTGTATTAGGGACAACAAAGGAACATTACTCCAGGCGGTCTGTCCTCTGTTACTTTCTCCTGTCCCTTCTCTTACAACTGACAGTCTTTTTTGAAAGAAAGGAAAATTAATATTATTGTCATAAACCAATTACATGTGGAAATTAAGATTTTTTAGAAAAAATAACATTGTTAGATTAATTTTTCTGTTATCCATTTGCTCATTCCCTTCCAATAAAATGGTTGATTCCAAGAAGACTCCAAATTACTGTTCCCAGATATTCTTCCCAGATCGAAGACATTCATCACATGTATTTTTCAAGTGCTGGCAAATCTAGATTAGAAAAAGGAGAACATAAATAAATAATACACACACACACACACACACACACAAATTGCATTATCTAACCGTACACAAACTAGCCTGAACAATCTCAGCTAGGAAGAGTGGAGCCTCAACTTAGGTTTACCCTACAGCAATTTCTCCCCACCCCTTGGCAGTTTTCAGTGCCCCTTTCTCTGAAACCAGGAAGGTTTTAACCTTTAAATCTCACCATGGAAATTGGCAAATAACCATTTTATAACTTTTTTATAAATCAGCATCATGCCAGGAGTACAGCCTAGAGTTGTGGTTCTCAAACTTCCTAATGCTGCAACTTTTTAATTCAGCTCTTTATGTTGTGATCCCTCCAGCCATAAAATTATTTCCATTCCTACTTCATAACTGCAATTTTTGCTGCTATTATGAAAGGTAACATACATTTCTGATATGCAGGATTTCTGATATGCAGTCCTTGTGAAATGGTCCTTTGGCCCCCTAAAGGGGTCAGAACCCATAGATTGAAAACTGCTGGCCTAGACGGAAACATGGTTGTAGTTTCCATATCTTAGCTCTCTAAAGTTAATTAACTCATGTATCATTTTTAACAAAGGAAAAGTTTCCATCTAGCAGTAAAAAGAACAAATGTACTCTGGTCACTTCTAAGAATTAGCACAACTTACTTACTTGGGAAAAGAGCATCAGTTGAGGAACTGAGCATGACAATAGAAAATTGTCATAACTGCTATTTGAGGTAAGAAGACCCAGTCCACTGTGGACATCAACATCTCCTAGGCTAGGGAACCCTGGCATTATAAAGAAAGGTAAAAGCTAGCTAAAAGGAGAAAATACGCATTTGTGCTTTTTGCACTACACTATGGTAACAGTGTGACTAGTTGCTTGAGTTCCTGTCTTGATTTCCTCTCAGTGATATACTGTAACCTAGAACTTTAGGCTACATAGGCCCTTTTCTCTCATATATTGCTTTCAGTTCCGGTTTTGATGGTAGATTTTACTATTGCAACATAAATCAAACTAGAACAATCTGCTACCTGCTGTGGTACTAGGATGTCTGTCATAGGTATGCAGAACATTCACACTGCATGCCTGTGATGATCTGCATGAACAAGGGCTGCTCCAGCAAGGTCTAGTAGATGAACAACCCCCACAACTGTCCACTTCAAATTCAAGGAGGAGCAGGTGAAGGTATGATGTAAAAAGTGGTATAATTTGAAGAGACTGAAAAATGCCAAGGACGGGGCCACGTAGTCAAATCTATCCTTACATAGTACAAGGTGCCTGTGGGCAGACTCAGTGTGGATGTCTGTTGAACTGATCTCAGTGATTTCCCCCCAGTTCCTTAGGTCTTCATCACTGATTGTGAGAGGAGACTAGAAAGTCATTCTTTTTTGCCAAATATAATTATATTTATTATTGGTATTCTTGAAGTTCACAAAGATAGTGTGTCAACAGAAAGTGAATGAATATGAGTGATTCTTGGCTCTTCATCACAATAACCACATATACATCTTATTATCTTTTAGATACATTTATGTAAAGAGAAGAGAGTTTTAATGTCTCTAATATAGATATCCAGGTACAGAACTCTTTGCAGTAAAAAGTCCTTCAAGCAATGATAAAGAAAACATCCTTGGGCTGATGAATATGTATACAGCATCTGTTATTTTGAAGGCATTGGGGTGGATATAGTTCTTGTTTTCATAGATCTTCATATAAGATAGTCTGTACATGAAAATGGGTAAACAGGAAACAGAAAATGCGAGACAATTCGAGAAGAGGGGAAGGAGAGGGGGAGATTAAAGTATGTACATACATCGTCAAAGAAGATCTCTTTTCCCATAAATGAGAATGTCAGTGGAGGATGTGCATACAATCTTGATGTATTTGTTTTATGAAAGAACACAGGAAGAGGGCAGAGCAGTGGGAAGATGCCTGAAGAGTAACTTGGGAAAGTAATCATGACAGATCAAATCACATAGTGCCTCTGCTAGGAAGACCTGCCTGACCATACCCCATACCTCTTCCAGTCTTAGTAAACTTCCTTTCTGATGTTTACTTGGTCTAATTACTAGATCCATACTTGTATTTACCATATAGAAAAAATTTTTTAACCTGCCTATTGCATGCATATGACTATTACTACACTCTGAAATATTAAGACTGGCTACAGGTCTTGGTTTTATGACCTTGGGACCCAGGGAATAAACTAATTTTAATGACTGTTCAGATAAACTGTACTTGGTACTGAGCATAGTTAGCAGTCAAGTTTTGGTAGGTTAACTGATGCTACAAAACAAGAGGTAAAAGTTACAGGAATTATCTTTTCAAGATTATTGTACTAAAGTGCAAACTATTATCCAGAGAGGACATAATGACTCAAGATCCTCAGGAACTAGGATTCAAAAGACCTAGAGCTGGAGATAGAAGATAGCTCCTTCTTGACTATCATGCCTAGAGGCTCTAACCTTAATGCCACTTTAAGGGATTTTGCCCTCACCACAGAAACTTTACACATAATGACAATTTACTTTTCCAATTAATTGTACATTTAATTTTTAAACAAGAGCAATTTATATATGCCTCACTGTCTGACAATCCTTAATAATATTATTGCTTCTGAAATTTGGATTCGAAAATTTGGATTGAAAATTTTTGGGTAAAAATTGTTTTTGTTTGTCTGTTTCTTTATTTTGGTTTCATGTTGTCATACAAAGCTGAGCCATCATGGAATATCATGGAATGACAGGGTGGGAAGAATATAAGAGCTAGAGGTGGGAAGCAGCACTGAGAATCAGGGCCTTATAGACAGGGCGCACCCCAGGTGATATATTTGTGAACTCACTGCACATGTGGTTGCCTGCACAAGATCTGTATGAGACTGGGTTCACCCACATTCCACCAGGGGAGGGCAAGGCCTCCTGAGGCCACACTCTTCCCTGAGGGGATTATTCAGAATGAATGTTGGTTAGGGGAAGGGTGTCACTTTCTTCAGTGGTGTAGCCACTGATAAGTTGCTCATGCTTCTGTAAATAACCTCCCACATATCCTCATTTAAACTCAGTAGGTCGAAGATACAAACATATATACATACATGCACGTGTGTGTGTGTGTGTGTGTGTGTGTGCGTGTGTGTGTGTGTGTGTATATATATATATATATAATGGGACATCAGGCAGTTCTGGGCTAACAGAAGTAATCCCAGCATGACCTACCATCTCCAGACAGTAGGTTTGAATATCAAAGCCATCAAAATAAAAGGGTGGCTTGGAGTGTATCCCAGTTGTGTAGAGCTTGCTTACAAATGCACAAAACCTGCATTTGATCTCTATGATAAAGCAGCAAATAAAAAAAAAACTATTTGGTAAGAAGGGAGGCTTAGCAGGAGAAGAAAAGGAGGTGACATAGAGTAAGAGTATGAAATTCAAAATATTTTCATTTAACTCAAAATAAAGATTAATCCAAAATACTTGCATTCAATACAAAATTTCAATACATTTCAATACATAATTTCAAAATCATTTCTGAAAAACCGTAGGTAGGGCTGGAAAAGGCGAGCATGTGAGCCTCCACTTAGATCTAAAATTATTTAGAATATGGCTAAGAGGTAATTAATTCTTTTAGAAAAATTGTAAACAAATGCACAAAGCCTGCATTTCATCTCCACAATAAAGCAACCTTTGTAGCTAACAAGGGTTTAAGAACAAGGATTTGGGTGGTGATCCCAACACCACATTATCTGTTAAATTCTACAGATTTCAGTTGTATCAATGGCCGTCCCTAGAAACCTGAATGGCTAGAAATTATGGGAAATGTCACACAAAATGCCAGTAAATTCATATTTCCTCAAGTTGTAAACAAAACAAATCTTCACTGACTCTACTGTGATTTCAGAATCAGGTCCAAGATATCATAAAAGAAGGATGCAGAAAGTCAAGTGCAAAGGCCAACAAGCTGATTTGACTTGCAGACCATGTTTTGTCTCCAAGCCCACTGGAGCTTCACCACAGTGAAGTTAAGGGCATCAATACAGACTGTCCTGCAATGAGGTGGCATTGAAAAGCCTGCTTTAAATTTTGTGAGCAGCTCTCAGACCCTGAGAGCCCTCTGGAATCCTTATTAGGGAAGTTAGGAAGGGGAGAGAAATTGTATGGTTTGCAACAGATTATTTCCCAGGCATTTGGGAAGCTGTACTACAAAGACATCATAATGTATTTTGAAAGTGAAATACTGTAATTCTATATTTTTGAGAATAAAGCCTAATTACTGCTACTAGGTTTTAGCAGTAAAAGAAAATATTCTTCATATGCTGATGAGAACTGTCCTTCCATGTAGTTCTTACTTAGCAGAAGTGCCATCTTTTACTTACCAGAAACCTACAAAATACTAGATTCTGTCGTCTTTGATCAGACAGTTATAACACCAGAGGTAGCACTTACCTAGCACAGGTGGTGGCTTTGAAATAGCTGGCAAGGTTGAGAAACAGTGATTTCACAACATCTTGAGTAGAAAAGAGAAATATATACACCTATTTTATTTTAAATACCATAATTTGAGTAAATTCCAAGAATTAGAGCAGCAATCTGGGAAAAGTTACTCACAAGCTATTGTGATCAGCAATGCACATGTGAAGATGCTGGGTAATTCTCCTCCCACGAGCCATCTGAAACAACAGGTTGATGTCATTTGAGCATATTAACCCTGCATTTCCAGCACATACAGTGTTCTTTTAGACTAAGAATAGACTCTGAGTGTCAAGATTTACTCTATAGCTCCAAAATAAAAATAGTTTGTATCAGCCAAAAGCTAGGCAGATAGGGCAACAAAAGAGACTAGAGAACCTTGAACCAGAAACACATGTATACGCTAAAAAGATATGTTTTTTTTAATGATTTCTTTTTACTTTAAATTATATATGTCTGTTGTGTAGGAAAGACAGTACATGCATGTGAGTGAAGAGCTCATGGAGGGGTAGACCAGAGGTATTAGATCACTCTGTAGCTGAACTTAAAGGTTGTTATGAGCCACCTGACGTGAGTTCTGGGATTTGAACTTGGGATCTCTGTAAAAGCATTCGATCTTAAGTGCTGAGCCTTCTTTCCAATCCTGTAAACTGATTTCTAACAGGAGTGAAAAAGTAACTCAATGGAAAGATAGTCCTTTCAGCAAACAGTCTAGAAACAATTGACTATTTGAAAACAGAAGAATGAATTCTCACATACATTTTTTCTTACACAACATTGAAGTTAAAATGAGTCAGTGGCTACATTATAAACCATAAAGTATAAAACTTCCAGAAGACATCATAGACAAAAACTGTATGACACTGGGTTTGGCCACAAATTGCTAAGTACAGTATAAAGTGTAGAGTCTCCAAGAGGAAAACATTAATAGTTGAACTTTCTAAAGATTAAAGAAAAAATTTCTCTGGGGAGGATACTATTAGGATGAAAGACAATGCAAAGTCAAAGGAAAATATCTGCAAATCACAAATCTCCTAAAGGAATCCTGTCTAGATTATGGACAACCAAACCTCAGCAATGAGGGGGCTGAAAAATAACGAATTATAATGGCATATATGTATGAAATATCACAGTGAAATGTGTTACTTCATGTAATAATTTAAAAAGGAAACCCAACAACCACAAAACAAATAACCTTCTAAATGGGTGAAAAATGTGAACACATGCCACATCTCAGCCAGTAAGAAATGCATGTGAAGGTAAGTATTTAAAGTAATGTAGAACATTATTTGTCATTAGACAATGCAAGCTAATTGCTGATCAATGGCTATCCATGTATCAGAATGACTCCAACTTGTCTACTGGCAATAACTGTATATTTATCAGAAATGTTGAGCCCATAAATTTTCATAACAAACAGGGCCATCATTGCTAACGGGAAGGAAAATGGTGAAAATATTTTGGAACACAGTTTCCCAATTAAAGGCAAACCGATTATCTCTCTCCACGTCCATTCATTGCTGGATTGACAACTCAGTACAACTTTTGTCTTTGAATAAATTTTATTAAAAATTGTCAAAAATTGAAGCAAACAAGGTATTTTCTGACCAGCAAGGTTTATAAGTTCACTCTAGATGTCTGTCTTGACACAGTTTTCATCCAAAACCTCAAACGTAGTGAGTTGGTCAGATTCTGTGGTTGTTGATAACTAGCTTTAATCAGTATTGGTCAGATAGAATATGGAATGTTCTTTCAATTTTTTAAAATATCATTTGAGACTTGCATTGTGTACTAATATATTGTCAGTTTTAGAGGAAGTCCAATGAGCTGCTGAAAA